TATCATGTTAGAACAATTCATCAATGAGGTAGACACTATTATCATCCTATTTCTAGGTTTAGAAAAGGTAATTAGTCCAAGATAACATGGCTTCTAGGTGGCAAAGCCAGGATCTTAATCCAGCAGCTGACCAACCTTGTTCTGCACACCCCTGGCCTGGAGAAGCCTCCTTTGTGTCTGGGAGGAAGGCCTCTCACCTCCTGCTTCTCCAAGTTCCTTCTCCTTCCCCCCAACTCTGTCCTCTCTGGTCTCAGGCTTTTAGAAAACAAAAGCCAGGAAACCTTTCAAGCTTCTCCTGCTAACCCCTGTTCACACCTCACTTGAAGGAGTGAAGTTCAAAGCCTGCTGCCTGATTGAACCCAGGAAAAGGGATGGGTGTGTTGCACTCTCTTTGTCCTCACATGGATTTGCCACCTCTCTCCCATGGGAGATGGAGATGCAAAGGATTACTCAAAGCCCATTTCCTCTGAGCAGTGAGACACCCCAAAGGGGTTAACTTCCCAGAACCCTCAAGAGAGAGGCATTACTGCTTTGGGAAGTTAACACTGAGCTGGGGTTCTGTCTCAGTATTTATTCTCCAGGCCAGAAAGTTACAGAAAAAGAACATAGGTGGAGTTATGGTTAAGTATAGTTTAACAATAGAAGCTGGTAACATCAGTGAAATAACAAAGTGACATTCCATAATGCAATTTGCAATAGGTTAAGTGATCAACCAACAAATACTTGTTCTTAGCAAATACTATGTTTTCCTGCAACAGTTTCCTCAGTATTTTTACATAAGAATAAAGCAACTTTCTTAACATATCAATCAGTAGATTAACCTGCTCTCAAGGACGTCTGTCCTTGAGAGCCAGCAACTTTGCTGTGTTACAATTCTATATTCACAACAGAGACTTTAGCCTGGGGAAAGTTTCCTGTCTTTTGCAAGTTAACATTTCTATATGTAATTTTAAAAGGTTAGGTTATACCTAAAACTACAGGGCTTTGGAAACTAGGCCCTGTGAAATACATTTGCTTTATAAATGTTAGTATACTCCACATGGTTGGGAGGCAGAAACATGAATGAATATCACAAAATATTGTCCTGTCACTCAGTACCCAAATGTCTCATCAATCCTCCTTCATAGAGTGGACAGTCATTGAGACGCTCCATGCATGTGTGCACACACACACCTGAAGGACCAAGCTCTCTGGCTCAGCCTGGTGTGGATGGGGTCCAGCTAACCAACTAATCCAGCTCCAGGCCCCCCCTCAAATACGTGTGCAAAGCAGGAATTGACAAGAAAGCATCTGCTGCAGAATTCAGTGATGAAAGTGGCCTCCTTCCTTTCCTCTGACATGTCTCCAGGATGAGTCCAGCAGGTTTCTGATGAAGGAGTTCCAAAGACACAGGCTAGCGGCTTCCCTTCCATGGCAAAATGAGTGAGACTTCCCCATCCCCACCAGACCCCTCTGCTTCTTCAGAGAGCCCTAGGGGCTAGCCAGCCCAGGGTTGTGACTGGTCCAAGGGAACACTCTGGGTATGGCTTTCTTCTCCCCCCACCACTGGGAAACACCTTCAGGGAGATGTCAGGGAGCACCAGATGCCTTCTTTTAGGGTTCTTCCCACTACTAGGTTCAATCCTCATGTATTCCAGCACAGCTGTCTTCCTGTCTCATTCCTTTGGTCACTGAGAGACAGGGATTCTCTTCCAATACCCATTCACCACATATTGCTGAGGGCCTCCTCTCAGCCAGGCACCCATAAGATATTGTGGGGAACAGGCATCTTCACCACCACTTTGGCAGTAGGAATGTGGCAAGGGTGCCAGCCAAACCAAAACTGGGATTTGCAGTTGATTTTGCCTGCTACACTAGTGGTCCAGCAGTCCTCCCAAGCATCTGCTTGCATAAAATGACATGCATGGAGTCAAGGAGTCTGCAAGAAGGAAACTTTTGTGGGTGGGTCCCTGGAGGCAAAGAGACTATCTTTTTTTTTTTTTTTCTAGCATCACTGATCTTTCCCTTTCTCACTCTGTTGACCGCTCCAGCAACTGAACTACTCCTTCACTTCTCTTAACAAAAACACTCCATGTTTATATTCCATGTCTCCACCTGCCCTCCCCCATTCTCCCTCCCATCCAATGACAGAGGCTTTCTTCCTCAGTACTCCCTGGGAACCAGGCTTGTCAAAGTCACAAAGGGCCTCGATGCTGCCAAAGCCAAGTCTCTTCTTGTCTTCATCTTCCTGTACTCCTCAGCAACATTTGGCACCACTGAATACACTTGTTTTTATTTTTAAGCACTTCTTTTTTTTTTTTTTTCCTTTTTGTCTTTTTTCGTGACCAGTAACGGGATCGCAACCCTCGGTATCGGGCCCGCACCGTGCTCAGACTGGTCTCTATATGGGATCCGAACCCTCGGCGTGCTCCCAAGCACCACACCCTACCGAGTGTGCCACCGGGCCGGCCCATTTTTAAGCACTTCTTTCACACAGCTTCCAACTTCACTGACCACTCCTTCTCAGTGAGGAAACTTCTCCTCTTCCCAAACCCTACCGAGTGTGCCACCGGGCCGGCCCATTTTTAAGCACTTCTTTCACACAGCTTCCAACCTCACTGACCACTCCTTCTCAGTGAGGAAACTTCTCCTCTTCCCAAACTCTAAATGTGAGGTTCCCCAGGGCTCAGTCCCTAGGCCTTTCTCTTCCCTCCCTGGTGACCTCATCCATTCCCATGGCTGATGTCTCCACATGGTGATGGCTCCCAAATTATATCACCGGCTGAGAGCTTTCATAGGCATCTCAAACTTAACATGTCCAACACTGGCCTCTTTTTCTCTCTCACTATGGCTACTCCCCAGTCCCGGGAAATGCACCACCGTTCACTTGATTGCACAAACCAAAAGTCTCAGAGTATCCTTGACTTCTCCCTGGCTCTCAAACCCTGTGCCAGTCATCAGAAGATCTGTTGGCCTCTATTTCAAAATGCATCCAGAATCCATCCACTGCCACCACCACCTTTTCCAGCCGGAACTACTGCAGTTGCCTCACAGCTAACCTCCTTGCTTCCACCTTAGAAAATTGTCCATTTGCACCCCCCTTCCCAGCTACTGGAATGATCCCTTTGAAAAGTAAATGAGACCATGCCCCTGCTCAAACCCTCCAATGATTTCCCATCACAGTATAATCCAAATTCTGTGTAATGATCTGCCCCTCCCCCTTTCTTCTCTCACCTCCTCTCCTCCCACTCTTCCCTCCCTAAATCTACTCCAGCCATATGAGCCCCCCCTGACAAACACACCAGGGACACTCCTTTCTTTGGGTCTTAGCTTTCACTGTTCCCTCTGCCTGTGCTCATTACAGATATTTACAGGTCTCACGGCCTTTAGGACTCTGTTCATATGAGACCATCTCAGAGAGGTCTACCCTGATCTCTCATTCTAAAATAGATCATCTGCCACTCTGTAACTCCTTACCTGGTTTTGCCTTCTATGTGGTATGTCTCCTCCATTGGAATGTGAACTCCACCTAGGCAAAGAACTTTATCTGCTTTGTTTACTTCTGGATCCCTAGATCAGAGAATAGTAACTGGCACATAGCAGGCACTCATTCAATATTTGTTGAATGAATGAATGATGTCTTTCTTGGTATCCAGTCTCTGGCCAGGCCCCAAGGAGTGGTATGCTAAAGTTGGCTTTTACCAGCTATGAGAACAGATTATAAGCATCTTTTTCCTACTTTGCATTTGGGGACTTCACACTGATACCCTAAACATCTGCTATAATGGGAATATTTACACCATACAAATTGGCAAACACTACATGTCAGGAAGCTTTTTTTCTTCTTCTTCTTTTTTTTTTTTTTTTGGAGAGCTGTTTACCAGCACATCACTGGGTCTTGAAAAGGACTGGACATAATACCTCAGAAGAAGCTCTTTCTCAAAGGACTTTGGGTCACTGGGAGCCCAAGCAGTGCTGACTCTGAGCCCTGGTGACAAAGTCTGATTCTGAGTTGGAAATGGGAGAATTCTGCTTGGAACAAAGCATGGTTTGGGTGCTGTGAAACCTGAAGGGAAGAGAGGTCCATCTGGCCCTTGAGGGTCTGCAAGCTTTGGAGGGGGATATAACCCCAAAGGAGGAAGAGAGCTCACAGAAGCCTCAGGAACCTGAGCTGCACTGGCTACTCTTTAATGCAACTTGCAGGAAGCAGTTATTAAGGAGGTGGTGTGAAAAAAGGAACCCATGGGGGCTCCCAGAAATATCTGGGGGAGGCTTTTGGGGAGGGCCTGAAGTTTAACAGATGGGGACTACTAGACAGAAAATACTGGTTATTCACACTCACACGACCTAACTTGTACCCTCTGACTGGTGGAACTAAAGAGAGTCAACTTTGGAAGATGTGTGCCGGGAGGCTGGCTCTTGCAGCTGAATCGCCAGCTTCTGCTACCAAGAGCTGGGGCTGCGGTTCTCACATTCAGAGGGCGGAAGAATCACTCAGGGAGCTTATTAAAATTCAGACTCACGGTCATCACCTCCCGCCCCCTCCTACTGATTTAGCAGGTGGGGGTAAGACAGAGTAATCTTCATTTTTAGGAAATGATGCAGTTGGTCCATGGGCCGGATTTTGAGGAGCATTGTATCTGAGCATCTTTTCTGTCAGGGAAAGGACTAGGTTTTACTCCCCTCCAGATGGCGCCTACTGTCTCCTGAGACCCGCTTTGCTAAGGACTGAGTTGGAAGAACAGCTCCCTCTCCCAGGTTCCGATAGCTCTGCTTCCGGGTTTAACTTATGCCAAACCTCTGTCTTACGGCTCCCGAGAGCCTAGGATGGCTCATCTGACCCAGATGGTTAACGTCCACATTCCTGCCTCGGGCGAGAGAGGAGTTCGGGAAGGCCGTTCCCAGAAACCAAACAGCAGCTGTTTTCATGCCTTTTAAATCACGCGGACAGGTTTCAGGGTCCTCCTTTGCAGGCTCGTAAATATTTGCCTTTGAGTGTCGGTGTTTTCTACCATGGCCAGGAGCTCTGATCGCCCTTCTCGGGCGCGGGCGCAGTACGCGCCCAGGTGCGCGGGTCCCTCCTGCGGCCCCCCTGGCTGGCGCCGCGGCGTCTCCAGCTGCACGCAGCAGAGAAGGCGAAGCCTCCCGGGGCCGCCGCTCGCCGTCTGGAGCGGGGCATCCTTCTTCGTACGTGCAGAGACTGAGAAACAGTTCTTTAGACACTGCAGCGACCGACACCGCTCCACGCCCCCTTCTCTTGAGCCGGTGCTTGGAGTGGAGCAAGCTCGGCTTGGCGGGGGACAGGGGCGCCACCTGCTGTCCAACGCGCGGCAGCGACGGGAGTGTAGAGGAAGTTGCTTTACAATCAGCTTGTGCTGCTCTTAGGCACTTGCCTTACCACCCCCCACCCTCCCACCCCCGGTTGATGTTTCAGCTGCAGCCAGATATTCTAGGATTCTGGGTTAGGGATGCTTACCCTGAGGTCCGTGTGTTGGCTTCAGGGAACCTGGGAACCCTCTAAAATGTTATGCAGAATATGGTATTTTTCTGGAAAACGGATGCAGTTTTCATGAGTCTGACTAATATTTTATGGTCTGTGGACCATGTGCCAGGAAAGGTGCAAACCATAAGTGGTAAGAAGTGACCAAGAAGACATGTCACTGTCCTTCATGGACCTTATAGTCTGTGGTAGGCTGAAGAATGACCCCCCCAAATATGTCCATATCCTAATTCCCTGTGGAACCTGCGAATGTTACCTTACATGGCAAAAGAGACTTTGCAGAGCTGACCAAGTTAAAGATCTTGAGATGGGGAGATTCTCCTCTATTAATCCCAGTGGGCTTGATATCACAAGGGTTCTTACAAGAAGGACGTAAAAGGAGTCCGAAGGCAGTGTGACAACAGAGGCAGAAAGAGAGGCCAGCATGTGAACATGCTCTGCTGCTGACTTTGAAGCTGGGGGGACGGATCCGTGGGCCCAAGTATGTAGGCAGCCCTGGAAGTGGAAATGGAAAGGACACAGATTCTCCCCTAGAGCTGTTGACACCTGGACTTTAGTCCAGTGAAACTGATTGCAGACTTCTGACCTCCGGAACTGTAGGAGCATAAGTTTGTGGGTTTTTCATGCCACTACATTTGTAGTAATTTTTTACAGCGGCGTTAGAAAACGAATAACCATCTTAATAGGCATCAGACTCTGAAAGTGATGAGACCGCACACTCACAGTCCTTTACAAGGCTGAGGGTCTCTATATCACTGGCTTTCTCCTCTCTAGGAGAGAACCCAAAGAGTCAGAAAATGCAACTAACAACGTGGATTTACTCAACTGCCCTGTGCCAGAGAGATAAGTCTACATCTGAGTCCCTTTCCTGGAGAGCTTTGGGACTAGAGAGGAAGATAAAATTCAGATTGCTTTTGTCTACCCAGACTATACAGAGGTGTGCCAGGCACTCCACAAAGCTGTAGGATAAATGTGGGGTGAGATGCACCACATTTGGAGCACCAATTTTACTGAATGAGACAGGATTAAAAACACTTTTAAATATAAAACAAGAATTTTAAGATAAAACACGGAACTTTAAACAATTTTCCTCTTCCTATAACAATTTGCAATTTTGCTTCCCAGATATTCAGGATTTTACATTCACTTTTCCCTGCCATTGGGGATATTTTGACAGGAACATCCAAAAAGCTCCAGATTAAGTAACAGGGCTGACCTGTTAGCTCACTTGGTTAGAGGCAGTGCTGATAACAACAAGGCACCAAGGTGAAGGGTTTGGATTTCCATACCAGCCAGCCACCAAAAAAAAAGGGGGGGGGCGTTGGGGAGTTCTGGTCAAGATGGTGGAGTAGACGGTTCCCAGCATCACTCTCTCCCACAAGTCAAACAATTTACAACTATATAAATGTAACATCAGCCAAGCTCGGACCGCTGGAGTTCAGGTGAAGAGAAGGAGAGACCTATGGAGTTCATGAAGGAGGGAGAAACCACAATGAGAGAAAGAAAAAGCTGCTCTGAGCATTTCAGTCCACAGCTGCTTTAAGGCTCGAACTGCTGAGCACATGGAGCAGGAGCCAGCAGAAACCGTAACCATGTCCTTCAGATGGAGTTACTTGGAGGTGGCAGGAGAGAAGCGGCCTTGGTGGCTCCCAGGACAGCAAGACCACTAATAGGGTTCACGTGGACCCATACAGGAGCGAGGAGCCAGAACAGCTGAAAAAGGGGAGCCATTCAGAGGCCGGTGAGTCATCGTAAGGGACCGGCGCAGGGCCTGTCCCATGGGAACTGTTTGGAGCACAGGCAGTGGGTGAGACGTGCCCACCAGGAGAACACTGGAACACAGCAAGGACAACCGACCTGCCCCCCAATCAGCACAGGACCACTCAGAAGAGACTGGTCAGGAATGCAGAATTGCACAGGGTGCAGTTTAATGAAAAAACTAAGGCCCAGATCACAGATTCCACAGAACACAGATCCACTGGTCTCTGGAGAGCCAGAAGTACCTATAAGATCAACCATTAAACCCTGAGCTGCACAAAAAGCCTTCCCTAGGGAAACAGCAGCAAAGTAGCAATTTAGCTCAACAACACAGCTCAAGTACCGGTTCCCACAGGAAGTTCCCCTGGGTTAAAAGTAAGCAAAGGACAAAAAATTAATTCCAACCCAGGCACACCACCAGTACCTTGGGCCTGCCTGAGAACTGGAGGCTTGGGTCCAGGGACCAGACCCCACTCCCACTTTCACGCAAACTGCGCCAGCACCTTGAGCTGCCCAGGGACCTGAGGCATGGAGAAGGGGACCAGATCTCTCTCCCATAACCGGGCACACCAAGCCAGCACCTTGGGTCCCGCCCTGGACCCCAAGCATGGAGGCAGGGACCGGACCCTTCTCCCACATCCAGGCATACCACACCAGCACCTTGGGGCCTACCCAGGGACCCGAAGCATGGAGTAGGGGACCAGACCTCTCTCCCACAACCAGGTATACCACACCAGCACCTCAGGTTCCACCTGGGGACCCAAGGCATGGAGAAGGGGACTGGACCACTGTCCCACAACCAGGCACACCAAGCCAGCACCTTGGGTCCTGCCCAATGACCTGAGGTATGGAGCTGGGGACTGGACCCTCCTCCCACAACCAGGCACACCACGCCAGCACCTCAGAGCCTGCCCAGGGACCCAGGGCATGGAGAAGGGGACCAGACTGCCCTCCCTCAACCAGGCACGCCATGCCAGTGCCACAGGGCCTGCCTAGGGACCCGAGGCATGGAGAAGGGGACCAGACACACCGCACAACAAGACACACTGCCAGCGCCAAGGAACATGCCCAAAACTTCACCTCCATGTGGGTGGCCCACCATAGCCACAATAACCATGGCTACCGTGAAAGTGGCTAGATGCCACAACCACCATGCAGATGGTCCGCCAGCCACTGGAGTGCATTGACACAAGGAGAGTCACCAGCAGAGACCAAGAAAAGAAGAGGATGTCTCTCTCCACAAAGCTCATTCCAGAGTGACAGAAGAAGCATCTGCTCTGTGATAATATTGGGGGACCCAATCACATCTCTCAACATTGGACAGATCATCTAGGCAACAAATTAACAGAGGAAGCATTATTCTTTCAGAGGGAGAGAAGCAATCTAGGGTAATTAGAGGGTGGAGGGGGAGGGAATGGGGGAAGGGGAGATATTGGACAAGGGGCATAAAGAATAATTACAATCTGTAACAATATATATGCTAGTAATATTGATTTCATCAACATATCTCAATGTTCACCCCCAAAAATATGTATAATCGATATTGATTCAATAAATAAATTTTTAAAAATAAAATAAATTTTAAAAAGAAGGGGGTGTTACTGGCTGGTTAGCTCAGTTGTTTAGAGCATGGTGCTGATAATAGCAAGGTTAAGAGTTCAGTCCCTATACCAGCCAGCTACCAAAAAATAATAATAATTTTTTTAAAAGAACAGATTAAGAAACAGGCCATGTTGAACAAGCAGTGGAATGTGCAGTTAGATGAGGCTTGAGTTTGTGGGGGGCCTCCAGGCACATGGTGAGGCAGAAGCATCCAAGAAGTCAGCTGAGGAGGTGGAAATGCAGCCTACCTTGAAGGATCTAGAAAAGCAAAGCAGAAGGAAAGGGAAGGCATCCCAGGAGGGAGAGACTAAGAGCACAACCTATCTGGTCAGCCTCTGGAAAACGGTGGGCAGGGTAGCCTGGTTCCTGAAAGCACAGTAGGAAATATTTTTTTAACATTTAAATAGGTACTCCTAAAAGTGCACAAAAAAGTACAAGAATGTTTATTCCAGTATCATCTATAGTAGAAAAAAAAAGGTAAATTATGTAATTGTCCATCAAGAGAAAAATGTTTAATTAAATTATGCGCATCCATGCTTTGGAGTACTATGCAATTGTTTAAAAGAATGAGGTTACTCCATATGCATGAAATGGAAAAATCTCTAAAACATGGTGAACACTATTGAAAAGGCAGATTATCTAACCACACATATAGTTTCATTCCATTTACATGTTTTAAAGCTGTATGTTTGTATCTGTGGTCTGAGAGCACCAGGAAGGAAGAGAGGGGCAGAGAAAGTTTTTTATTTCATGTGTTCGTATTTTGTCTTAGCATTTTTTTCATACAACTTCCAAGCCTTTATTGGCTCCTTCTGCCTTGTAAGCAGAGGAAAGTGGAGTTCCCCCACATAATCAAATTGATATATTTCTACGGTGCTCAAGTAAGTTTCTTAAATTGTGGTAAAATACACATAACCTAAAATTTACCATTGTAACCATTTTTAAGTTCATTAGTGTTAAGTATACAGTTGGCCCTTATCCACGGGTTCCACATCCATGGATTCAACCAACCATGAACTGAAAGTATTTTTTAAAAAATCAAAAATAACAATACAACAATAAAAAATAATACAAATAAAAAACAATACGGTATAACAACTATTTACGTAGTATTTATATCACACAAGGGTACTTCAAACATCTTTTAATTCCATTTTTCCACATACTTCTTGTTATACCCTCATAGAACCTGCACACATCTCCCCTTATACTTTAAATGATATCAAGATTACTTATAATACCTAATACTCATATGCAAATGCCATTATATCAGGGGCTTGAACATCTGTGAACTTTGGTATCCACAGGGGTCCTGGAACCAATGCCCCACAGAAGCGGAGGGATGACTGTATTCACGCTGTTGTGCAACCAATCTCCAGAAATTTTTCATTTTGCAGAACTGAAACTCTATACCTATTAAACAACTCCCCACTCCCCCTTCCCCTGACCACTGGCAGCCACCGTTCTATTTTCCATTTCTATGGGTTTGATTACTCTAGGTACCCCATATAAGTGGAATCATATA